AAGCTCACTGGTGGCTTGTGGAGTGGTGTACTCGATTATCCTCTTGTCGCCCTCCTTCTCGAGCGTGCCTGAGGACGACAGCGCCGATTGCCGCACCTCGGTGTCAGCGCCCTAGTGGAATGGCGTCGATGGTTTGCACGCTCTTGACAAGGTGCCCCGCGGCGTCGGTGGGATCGCTCTCGCTGTCCATGACAAAAGTGCGGCTCCTTCCAAGAGGTCCGTAGACGGGGGTCGGTGATGAATGGCGCCGCAGGCCGCCCTTTCAGTAATCTCGGATGGAGTGCTGTCGCTGTCATTCGGCTGCCCAGCAGCGTGGGTAGTCTCCTCGGTTGTGCTCACGTCGCTTGTGTCCTTCGCTGGTACTTCCACTGCCAAACTCCAATAATGGGCCACTGAAATCGGATACGCGTCCGTGCCGCAGACTACGTCCTCGAACTCGACGTCGCTCAACTTAAGGCTCAATGCAACTTTGGTGACGTCATTCGCGCTGCTGCCATTGATATGCTTGACGTGGTTGTAGCACACGTCAAATTTGAAGATCTTGCTTCGTATGACGCTGGGAATGTAGGAATGCCGCCTTGCGCTGGCGGCGATACCTTCAACGTTCTCGCCCGTTGCGTCAGCAAGTTCCCGGAGGAGGTCATCGCGCAAGTGATCGACCAGCTCTATGGCTGAGCCATCCGAGCGATGGACCTGATAAAAATCGGAAGAGGGTCTATACAGCAGTTGCCGCGTGAGCCGCAATGACTACAGAGGAGGAGACGAGGAGGAGGAAGAGGAGGAAGATTGAGGAGGGGGCAGGAGGACAATGGCGCCCATACCACCCAACTCTGCAGCTCTGAGGTGCAAGGGTTGAGCAGCAGTCGCGCCTCATCACACCTTCATCCCTGCCTCCTCCTACCCTGCCACCTCCCATTGCCCATCATCCTACCAGGGGCTCGCCCGACTGGCCGTGGAACCGTGAGACTGCGTGGCAACTGTCTGGGGTCCACTATGAGAGACTCGGCGCTTCTCCGACGCCCCACGTTGTGCTACCGTCCAAATTCCTACGTGGGGCTTGCATTAGGTCGGGCATGTCCCCCGACAGGGGGATTTTGGACGACAAATAATTACTCCGACGGTCGGATCCCGCATGAGAATCTGTTTAGCTTACCCTTTGCCCTTTCCTCCTCCCCCTGGCGGACACCCTCTCCTCTCGCCCCCTGCACTGCCCTCTCTTCCCCCTTCTATTTCTCTTCCTCCTCCTCTTTCTCCTCCTCCTCCTCCTCCTCCTCCTCCTCCTCCTCCTCCGCCTCTCGCGCCACCTCCTCCTCGTCGTCGGCCTCCCCCATGCCCCTTCCCTCCTCATCCCCCTGCCTTTTCTCCATGTGCACCTCCCCTTCCCCCTCGTCGGGGCAAGCAAATCCATTTTCCTCAGCGCCGTCGCCGCCTCGGCCAGCGCCTCGGGAAGCGGGCCCCATAGGGAGGGGGCTCCCGCCCGAGACTTCCTCGCAATTCACTCACAGACGAGGCTCCCGCTCGAGACTTCCTTCATATTCAGGTCTCAAGAGCCCAAAAGTGACGACAATTGCACGTTGCGGATGACCCGCTCGGATTCGAACATGAAGTGCGGGCCCCATAGGGAAGGGGTTCCCGCCTGAGACTTCCTCGCAATTCACTCACAGACGAGGCTCCCGCTCGAGACTTCCTCCATATTCAGGCTTCAAGAGCCCAGAAGTGACGACAGTTATGCGATTCGGATGGCCCGCTCGGATTCGAACATGAAGTGCGGGCCCCATAGAAAGGGGGCTCCCGCCTGAGACTTCCTCGCAATTCGCTCACAGACGAGGCTCCCGCTCGAGACTTCCTCCATATTCAGGCCTCAAGAGCCTAAAAGTGACGACAATTACACGTTTCGGATGACCAGCTCGGATTCGAACATGACGTGCGGGCCCCATAGGGAGGGCGCTCCCGCCTGAGACTTCCTCGCAATTCACTCACAGACAAGGCTCCCGCTCGAGACTTCCTCCATATTCAGGCCTCAAGAGCCCCAAAAGGACGACAATTACACGTTTCGGATGACCCGCTCGGATTCGAACATGAAGTGCTGGCCCCATAAGGGGGGGGGCTCCCGCCTGAGACTTCCTCGCAATTCACTCACAGACGAGGCTCCCGCTCGAGACTTCCTCCATATTCAGTCTCAAGAGCCCAAAAGTGACGACAGTTACACGTTGCGGATGACCCGCTCGGATTCGAACATGAAGTGCGGGCCCCATAGGGAGGGGGCTCCCGCCTGAGACTTCCTCGCAATTCACTCACAGACGAGGCTCCCGCTCGAGACTTCCTCCATATTCAAGCCTCAAGAGCCCAAAAGTGACGACAGTTGCACGTTCGGATGACCCGCTCGGATTCGAACATGAAGTGCGGGCCCCATAGGGAGGGGCTCCCGGAGCTCACAGACGAGGCTCCCGCTCGAGACTTGACCTACACGCACCCGCTCGGATTCGAACATCACTGAGAGCAATTCACTCACAGAGGCTCCCGCTCGAGACTTCCTCCATATTCAGGTCTCAAGAGCCCAAAAGTGACGACAGTTGCACGTTGCGGATGACCCGCTCGGATTCGAACATGAAGTGCGGGCCCCATAGGGAGGGGGCTCCCGCCTGAGACTTCCTCACAATTCACTCACAGACGAGGCTCCCGCCTGATACTTCCTCCATATTCAGGCCTCAAGTCAGCGAGTAGTGATGATGATGATGATGATGATGATGATGATGATGATGATGATGATGATCGTTCGATGCCGATGATGGTGAGTGATCGTGCGATGGTGATGGTGATGCTGATGGTGATGATGATGATGAGTGGGGAGTGATGGTGATGGTGATGATGATGCGGAGGAGGAAGCAAAGAGGAGCAGAGGAGAGGGAGGAGGAGGAGGAGGAGGAGGAGGAGGAGAGATCCTGCGCGGAGGGTGTGCAACGAAAACAAGAACCCCACTTAGGATGTGGGGCATGATGATGATGATGATGATGATGATGATGATGATGATGAGTATGTGAGTGACTGAGCGTGTGAGAGAGCGCGAGTGATGATGCTGATGTTGATGATGAGAGAGTGTGAGTGAGTGTGAGTGTGAGTGAGTGGTGATGATGATGAGTGAGTGAGTGAGTGTGCGAAGGCAGAAGAGGAGAGGGGGTGGGGTGAGTGTTCCTGCGCGGGGTGTGCAGAGAACACAAGAACCCCACTTTGGATGTGGGGAAAAATACACCAAAAATGCAAAAATACTCAACAATGGTCAAAAAGTAGTCCCCAGACTATTTTAAAACTGTTTTTGAATATTCCCCCTGTAGAGGGGCATGCCCGACTTAAGACTTGCGTGAATGGCTGGGCAGCCATGAGGCTGTGTGGCGGCTCTTTGGGGTGCGCTATTCGGGGGAACGACCCATGACATGACCATGCAAACCTCGGAGGTCCGCGCGGGCTTCTCGGATCGGCGCTGGGGCTCCCTGGCGGCGCCTCCGGCGCCCGCCCCTGGCGCGCCCCGCGTGCCAGGGAGGGGGGTCCAGCGCGGATCCAAGGAATCCGCGCGGACCTCAGAGTTTTTATGTTTATGCGAGTTGTCGTGCCCCTGACTGTGCCGAAACTGTTTCGCGTCCACTCTGCACGAGCCCTGTCGCCTCCCCGATGCCTCCCTCTTGCTGCCCCTGGCTGCTCCGTCTGCTCTCGCCCTCTTCACTCTGGTCGTCCAGCGCCATTCTGTCTCGAGAAGTGCGCCAGTGTTAGGTCGGGCATGTCCTCCTGCAGGCGGATTTTGGACGACAAATGAGAAATAGCCAACAAATATTCAAAGATGGTCAAACATCAAAGATGGTCAAAAATTGTAGAAAAAAAGTCGTTCCCAGGTTTTAAACTATTTTTGAAGATTCCTCCTGTAGAGGGACATGCCCGACTTAACGCCAGTGTGGAGGAGGAGGAGGAGGAGGAGGCTGCGTACTTGGGAGGACGAAGAGACGAGGAGGGAGAGGGGGATGATAATGTATATGACCAGAGTAAGCCCAGGATGCATCAATGATGCTGCGATTCACCCTCCCGTCCCAAGTTCCCTCCTCTCAACCCCCACGAACCATCCTTTTACACAACGAGAAAACGCCACCTTGATAGACGAGCACCCTATGGCCCTGCCGTTCAGGCGAGAGCTCCGTTTTCAAGATGACATACTGTGCATCCTTCTTGTGAATGAAAAAGAATGTGCGTGTGTAGGATCTGTTCAGATGCAACGAGCTGTCCAACGACAGCTCCGTTGTGAAAAAACGCCTTCCGTCCGTGTAACTGCTGCACACGTTTGACAGTTCAGGTCGTTGAAGTCTCGAGCGAGAGCCCCATTTTGAAGCGGAGTCACCCTCCATTCCTGCAGCGCGGCCGCTCATTTTGCGGAAGTCTCACACGAGAACCACATGTTGGGAAGGAACCGCCCTGCATCGTTGTAGCTGTTTGCACGCTTTGAGAGCGAATGTGCGCGGCGCGCAGGTTACTGCCGCATTTCGAGAACGGACCACCTTCCATCCTTGTATCTGTTGCAAGCTTTTAGTACGAATGTGTGCGGCGCTCAGGCGAGAGGCATCCCCCTCATTTTGGAAACGTACCGCCCTGCACGCTTGTAGCTTCTAGAAGCTCCAGACCTCAGGATCAATGGTGGTGAGGAAGGCTCAGGCGAAAGCCCTGTATCCCCTGCCGACACGTCTGGTGGTGCGGCGGACAAGAAGGAGTCATCTATGAGGAAACGACTGGAAACGAGCGGCGAGGAGGACGAGAAAAGGAGGAGGAGGAGGAAAGGAGGAGGAGGAGGATGAGGAGGAGGAGGAGGAGGAGCAGGAGGAGGAGGAGGAGGAGGAGGAGGCGGAGGCGTGGGAGGAGGAGGAGGAGGAGGAGACCTGGGAGAAGCAGAACTCTTCGGCTTCGCGGGCCGCCACCGTCGTCGCTGCAGCCGCCGCCGTCGGCGGCAGGCACGAAGCGCCCTCCTTCGGCTTCGCGGGCCTGCCCCCGCGCAGCTGCAGCGACTGCGCCAGCGTCTGGCTGGCAGCGGCCGCCACGGGGCCGCTGGACACGCCGACCTCCGCGGCACGCACCGAAAGTGCACGCGAGCGACTCCCTGATGATTCGGATCGCGGCCCCAGGGTCCAGAAGTGGCCGCGGGAGGCCGAAGCCGATGAAGGAACTCCGGATGTCGCTCCCGCACGACGTCGAAACCTGGAGATACCGTGCTGAGTCCGACAACGGCAAGGCCGCGCTGACTGCTACCTCGACCTTTCCCACTCGCCAAGTTGCGTGGGTAAGACGCCCGACACTTTTGCAACCCTCCTACTCCTCCTGCTCTCCGTCGTCCTACTCCCCCTCCCCTCCTCCTCCTCCTCCTCTTCCTCCTCCTCGTCCTCCTCCTCCTCCTCCTCGTCCTCCTCCTCATCCTGCACGTCCTTCTTCGTCGTCGCCTCCACCTTGTCCTCACCCTCTGTCGAGTGTCTTCCACCCCCTCTGCCCTCCTCTGCCTTCCTCCTCTTTACGCTCCTCCTCTTATCTTCACGACGGCAGAAATGCGTGACAATCTCCTAGCATGCTCCCACGAAATGCTCGATGCCTCGAATACGCCTCCAAAAGGCTCCCAGACGGTTCAGGAGGCCCCACAAAGGCCCCTGCGACCTCTGTAATGAGACCTTCCATCCAGTTCCCTGGTGCACCAACGGCCACCGCCACGCTTTTGAAGGCTTCGCGACGGCAGACACCCCCCGACATTCTCCCAGCAAGTCGTCTCTGAAATCGAACGCCGTTCTCTTCGGACCCCCGGAGCACCCCGTCATCGATGTTCCTGGGCAAACCTCCAGGACGTCACGCCCCCCTTCCTTCCAACAGGCTCCCCAAATGCCCCAGAGCAGCCGCGAAGATTCCCTCGGACACCTCTGATAGCGTCCTCCCCGAAGCCCCTCCGCGCAGTGAGGCGACGACGACGAGGGAGGAAGAGGAACGGCAGAGGACGGAGGAGGCGGACAGTCCTTCCAAAGAGCCCTCTGGCCGACAGCCCAGGCACGGTGGCGGAAGAGCCCAAACGCCACTACAGGCAAGAACCGCGTAATCATTATTATTATTATTATTATTATTATTATTATTATTATTGTTATTATTACGGTTATTATTATTATTATTATTACTGTTATTATTATTATTATTATTATTATTATTATTATTATTATTATTATTATTATTATTATTATTATATAACAAAAAACAAAAATTCGCCGGCCCAACGGGCCAGGGCGTGCTAAGATCTCCGGTAACTGGTTAACAGTATTAACAGTATTAACAGTATTTCTAGTTCGCGCGCGCGGGGCGGCCCCTGGGGGTCCCCCGGCGAAAAGTACCCCGACCAACGCCCGTCGCCGCCCGACCAAGTCTACTCAGAGATGGTTTTCCTTCTGGGTGCGGCCTCTCAGGCTCCCCAGAGCGCGCTCAGAGTGCCCCAAGAGGCCCCCAAGACTGCCCAAGAGGCCCCCGAGACGCCCAAAGAGCGCTCGAAGACGCCGAAGATGACCCCAAGACGGCCCAAAAGGCCCCCAAGACAGCCCAAGAGGCCTCCAAGACGCCCCAAGAGCCTTCCAAGAGGCCTCCGAAGAGAGCCCCAAGAGGCCAAAATCGTTGATTTTCATTTGTTTTTTCTATGTTTTTTGTGTTCTGGCTTTTTCGGCTTCCGGACGCTCCAAGACGGCCCAAGAGGCCCCCAAGACCGCTCCAAGACGGCCCACGAAGCTCCCAAGACGGCGCCGAAACGACCCAAGAGAGCCCTCAAGACGGCCCAAGTGCCGCCCAAGACGGACCAAGAGGCCCCAAGACGGGCCCAAGAGGGACTCAGGAGGGATACCGAGAACTCAAAAATGGAGCCCTCCGTCCCAGAAGGCGCCCAGGAGGTCCCAAAGAGGCCCCAAGAGGCCTCCAAGAGGCCCCAAGATGTCGCCAAGAGGCCCCAGGAGACTCCCAGGAGGCCCAAAAGAAGCCCCAGAAGGCTTCAAACATGTCTCCCAGGCGCCCCCGAACGGCCTCTCAACAGACCCCAAGAGGCCCCCCAAAGAAGCATCTTGACGACGACTCTATTTCGCCCCATCGAGAGACGACCCCCAGGGAACTGCTTCACCATCAAAACTCCCCACGCAACGCGTCCGAACGACACCCGCCCCCAAGAGCGCAACATGGGCAACGAACACACAGACAAAAACCAGCGATGCCATATCACGGGCCGGCGGAATGAGCGAAGCGATTCAATATAAAAAATCAATGGCTTCAAGGGGAATAGTGTGTGTTCGCTGCGCCGGGCTGCCGACGCCTCGGCACGGGCCAAGATGCTCCACGGCTCCCGGGAGGGTTGCTCGGGGCTCTTGGGTGGATGGTACGGGCGCTCCTGGACGCCAACCCAGGAGCAATGATGAAGGCGACTCGGGGAAGTCCCTAGGCGCTGGATGGGAGCTCCTGAGGAGGCCGTCGGCAGCGCGGCGCGGCGCAAGCAACGCACGCCTTGAATCCATGGGGGGATGTATGGTGAGGGCCTAGTGACTGTGTGATCTTCCGCCACCATGCCTGGGTCCTGGGCCAGAGGGCGCTTTGGAAGGTCGCTTGGAGCCTCCTTGGAGGCCTCGCGTGGATCCTTTGGATTTTGGAGCCCGCCAAGGTTGCGTCCCTGTAGGGGGGTCATCTTGGAGCCTCTCGAGGCTACACGGGGGCTTGTTACCGTGTGGGCATCAGAGACTGCATTGGAGCGCTCTTGGGACAATCTCGGACCTCGTCCTCGTCGTCCTCCTCCTCCTCCTCCTCTTTCGTCTGGCTCCTCTTCTCCTCTTTCTCCTCCTCCTCCTCCTCCTGCTTCTACTCCTCCTTGTACTACTCCTTCACCTCCGCGGCCTCCCTCCCCTTCCCTTCTCCCGCCCTCGTCCGCCTCCTCCTCCCTCCACCCTTCCTCCTCCTTTTTCGTCATCGTCACCTCCCTTCGCGGACGCTGCGGGGGGAGGACGCTCTCAGACATTTTCCCCAACCATCCTGTGGTGTTGGGTCCTCGTTTTGAGAAGACAGTCCTCGCGTCCCCTCCTCTCCTCTCCTCCTCGTCCTCGTCCTCGTCCTCCTCCTCCTCCTCCCGCTCCTCCCTCCTCCCATCCTTGCCTCTGCCATCCGCATTTGGCACATTCCTCGCACGTTTCGTGGCCCCTTAGGGAGCTCGACCGAAGGCGCCAGCTGCTGCGTTCGCATGCCGCCACCTCCTCACTTTGGCACATCCCTCACACGTTTCTTGGCCCCATGGGGAGCTCCACCGAAGGCCCCAATGGCTGCGTTCGCACGCCGCCCCCCCCCCCCCCCTCACTTTGGCACACCCCTCACGCGTTTCGTGTCCCCACAGGAAGCCACAGCTATGGTCCCAGTGGCTGCGTTCGCATGCCGCCAGCCCCCTCACTGTGGCACACCCCTCACCCGTATCGCGGCCCCATATGGAGCTCCACCGAAGGCCCCAGTGGCTGCGTTTGTATGCCGCCACCCCCCTCCCTTTGGCACACTCCTCACCCGTATCGCGGCCCCATGTGGAGCTCGACCGAAGGCGCCAGAGGCTGCGTTCGCATGCCGACACCCCCCTCACTTTGGCACACCGCTCACGCGTGTCGTGGCCCCATAGGGAGCTCCACCCAAGGCTCTGGTGGCTGCGTTCGCATGCCGCCACCCCCCTCCCTTTGGCACACCCCTCACCCGTATCGTGGTCCCACAGGGAGCTCCACCGAAGGCGCCAACGGCTGCGTTCGTATGCCGCCAGCCCCCTCACTGTCGCACACCCCTCACATGTTTCGTGGCCCCACAGGGAGCTCCACCGAAGGCCTCAATGGCTGCGTTCGCACGCAGCGCCCGCATGTTTTCTCCCGCTTCCCCCGGTGCCTGTCAGCCGCAACGGGTTACATCAGCATGTAATCCGTTTCGTCAGATCTCCGCGCCCCCTGCGGGCGGCCCCAGCGGCGGCGCCCGCATGGCGGCCCCGTTCCATTTCGGCGCTCCCTTCACGCGTTTCGTGGCCCCGTAGGGAGCTCCACCGAAGGCGTTTTCCGCAACGGCCGTACTCACAACTGCATATGGTTGGGTACTTCGCCAGGATAATTAATTGATGGGGTCGTCTGGATTGCTTGAGGGCGTCTGGGGTGGGGGGCTGAGCAAAACCCTTTGGGTGGAAGGGGGGCCATGTGTTCCCGGAAGCCTTCCAGAGAACATCGATCAAGGCTGGCTGGGGAGGTCCGAAGGCAACGGAGTCGGACTTCAGAGGGAACCTGCTGGGAGGTCGTGGTGCGTGTTTGCTATCGTGGGGTTGGGTGCAAGAGAGCTCTATGGAAGGCCTCTTGGCGCCTCATTGGAGTGGTCGCATCGGCCTTCAGGAGGCCTTTTTTTGGAGCTCCCTGAGTCGTCCTGGAGCCTCTTGGGTGCGTCTTGGAGGCTTGGGAGACTTCGTGAGGGCCTGCTGGCGGGGCGGTAAAAAAGCCTCTTTGACCGTCGAAAACTCAAAAAGGAGAGAACGCCGGAATCCTCGAAGCAACTAAACGGAAATCGATGTTATTTCGCTTTGGGGGCCAATTGAGGGGCCTCTTGGAGCCCTCTTGAACTGTTTTTGGAGCCTTTTGGGCCGTCTTGGAAGCATCAAGGACTGTAGCGTGGCGCTCTTAGGAACCATTGTGACTCTCTCTCTCTCTCTCGGGCCGTCTTGGAGCTCTCTTGCGGGCCTGAGGACCCATCTGGAGACGCCTGGGGGGCTCGGATGACCTGCTGGAGAGCGTGAAAAGGCCGTCTCATCATCATCATCATCATCATCATCATCATCATCATCATCATCATCATCATCATCATCATCATCATCATCATCATCATCATCATCATCATCATCATCATCATCATCGTCATCGTCATCATCATCATCAGTATCATCATCACCATCATCATCATCAGCACCATCTTCATCATACTCACATGTACTCAGCATCGCCATCATCATCTACGTCATCATAATCACCATCATGATAACCATCATCACCAACATCAACATTATCATCAT